TGAGAACAGTCCATGAATCATAGCATTTTCAGAATCAATGCCAGCCAGAAAGAGTCATCATGAACTTTCCCTTTCCTTGGGTTTTATCAGGTAGTTTATAACTTGCATTTAATGTCATGCACATGGTCAAGAATTTGCAGCCAAAAAAAAAAATGTATAGAATTGAAACCGCTTTGGAATATGTCAGAGAGACTTACCTTTACATCAGCATTGTCTATTAAGCTATCATCTCCTTTTTGTATTAATTTTTTGTGTTCCAGCACTGAGCTTGAATTATGTCAGTGAAGTCTCATGACAGTCCTCTGAAGGGATTTTGTGTCAGTTCCCATTTTATGTGACACATGCAAGGCCACAGAGCGTGGGCAGTTCCTGTACACCTTTCCCCTCCCAGTCGCCTGCAGGTAGTATCAGCATATCTGTGTTTCAGACACAACATTTTTGCTTCTATCTCCAGCCTAAGATCAGCCATAGTTGTTGCAGCTATTATCGTTATGTAGGATACTGAGTACTTGTTTATTATCATATCAACTTCTTGAAATTATTTTTGTACTAAGTACTTTTCTTTTGCTTATGCATTTATGAAAAAAAAAGGAATCAGTCATTCGTCTGGAAGAGTTTGGGTTTCTTAAGAGGCATTCAAACACAAGGGAAGACAGAAAAATCAGCAAGTGATAACATAATCCCAGGTGAGCATGAGGACATGTGCTATACCTGCTCCACTCTGTTCCCCTTTGCTGCAAGAAAGCCTGCCGTGGGACTTCACAGGAATGCCGTTGTCGGTTTCTACAAAGTGACTCACTCAACTCACTGCAGAATGAAGCTAACGACCTGAAAGTCCCCAACTTCCCTGTCCTCATCTTCTCCCTCTGCCTTCTGCCCAGTTCTTGCCTGGGAGTCTGCAGTGACCGTTCCTCCAGCCCGGGTCTACACCGGCAGCACACAGTGTGGAAATTGTCATCTCAGGCTGCACTGCTCTGGCCAGGGGTCACTTTCATGGTGACAGGGCCAGAGAAAGATGACAAAGGGAGAGGCCCCATCGACTATTAACAGTTTAGCCCTGAGTTGACCTCTGCTGTCTCAGTCTGTGGTCCTGGCATGTGCCTCAGACAAAAGCAGAGGAAGCAGTTGGCTTTCAAAGGAGGATCTGCACCTGGCTACTCACCAGTGCGTTTGCAACAAGCCCATGGACTTGCAGTAGGGAGGCAGTGTGGATCAGAGGCAGTGCCACGGCCTTGCGGTTACAATTATAGACTCCGCCGCCAAACCAGCTCAGCTCGTTTCTGTCTCTTCCACTTAGTAACTTGGGCCAGTTTCTTGATTTTCCTGTAACTTTGTTTATTCTTAAATAAACATAGTAGTAGTAACAGGGCCACAAGCTCATGCAGGGACTGAATGAGCAACTTACAGGTCAACGCCCCCTAGTCATGCTCCCCTTCACTCACTGCTCCAGCTGTCCCTCTACCATCTCTTTGCACATCCCCATTTTAACAGCCCAACCAGGCTGAAGTTGTCCTCTGCTGACTCAGACATTCCACTTGTTGTCCCCTTTGCTGTCAGGTCCTTGCACCTGACCTCCCCCGCCCCACATTCTGTGGTTCTCTTGTGACCACTTCTCTCTACCACCATGGCCAGCTCCCACCTTCATTACCACACACTTGTGCACACACACACACACACACACACACACACACACACACATACACTGGGCTTCATCCCTTGTGCACCTTCCAAAGTGGCTGATGTCGCAGAAGAATGGAAAGAACAGAGGGAATCTACTACCTGAAGAGTAAGTGCCCCAAATTGATAATGAATCATCACTGCCACTTTTCAGCAGCCTCCTGCCCTCAGCAAGGGTCCCTGGGTCCTTCCTCCTGCTTTCACAGCCTGTCAAGCCCTAGGGATCAAAACCCAGTGTTCAGCCTCAGCCACACTCAGAGGCCTTGACACTTCAATGGACTATTACCATTCTGGTGAAAGGCTTAGACACCTGGATGCACTCACAGGCTCTGGCTGCCCTGTAAAACTACCCCCAAGCATATCCAGGACAAACTGGATCTCCCGTGCAGTCTCATCTGGAGATAACACTGACCAAAGCAAGTCCTGGCCTCCACGTCTGGGATGCTAGGAAATCACACAGTTCTGATGCAAAAACAGCCTGCTCAAGAAGGCCTTGGAAAGAAAAAGGCAGGGCCAGGAGCAGTTGTATTTAGGGTGTCAGGTAGAAGCTTTACACGTACCACTTCACTGATTCATAGATAAGGCTGAGGCTCAGCAGGAAGTGGGCATCCAGACAGCAATGTCAGCTGCTCCCATTCTAGAACACGGTTCTAGGAGATTCCAGCTTCCCTGGACTTCCACAGGGAAGTCCCCCATCTGTCCCATTTCCCGTGCGTTAAAGATTGCTTCACCCTCACCCCTGGCCTTTGCCAAGGGCCAGTTCCCTCCCAGACCACAAACTTGCATGCACAGTCCTGCTGTAGAGAAGCTGGTCTTGGTCCATCAGAGTTCTGGACTGGCAGCGGGAGATTCTGTTCTGCTGTGTCTGGGCTGTTTCCTCTGGGGTGGAGTCCTGGCAGCAGAGCCCCATGCCGTGTCTATTACCTGCTGATGGGCCACAGACTCACCTGAGCTAAAAAGAGAAAGCAATGCTGTATGCTGTAAAATAGCCAATTCTCACCCCATTGGGAGGGTAATACTGGTTTGTGTGATTTATGCTTCCCTTTAGCAATCTATCATCTATCTAGTGTCTGTCTAGCTGGGTATACGCTGTATAGAATTTTCCTTTGCCTTCTGTCTGTGTATCTCTTCCTCCTCAGTCATGCTTTGCAGATACTTGATTGTACTGGATGATGGTATGACTTCAGGTTAAAAAAAAAAGAGTTGGCATTCACTTCCATGGTTCTCTTGGAAAGTTCAGTGTCCTTACTAAAAAGTAATGACACAACCTAAAAGGAAGGTTCAAGGGAGGTGCATATTAAAGGACTTCATGGAGTTCAACTTCCCAAAAGCAAGCTGCTCATTTGGAGTAAAAGGTCAGCCGTGCGTGACACTCATAGGTCAGATTCATAGCCCTGCTTCTTTGTTCCCTAAAGAAGCATCACATCGTTGTCTCTTAAGCCCATAGCTTCTCTGGGTAGTGCTGTGAGGCGGCACAAAACAAAGTCAAAAGACACGGGGGCACCAGTGCCAAGGGCCAGGTGGCGTCTGCCCAGGGTGGGTGACTAGAGAGGCAGGTCTGTGGCAGGGCGGCACAGGCCGAATGGCAGACTCTGGGCCGGTGTCTCCAAGCATGTGTTTCAAAGTCAGTCCGTCAGAACTGACTCGACTAGTCATTGTGAATATTTGAAACCCGTAGCTCTCCAAGATTTTTAGGAGAAAAGAGAGAATGCAGAACTCAAAGCGAGTTTCTCACAGGTGTATCAAGTGAAAATGAGATAAGAGAAGGGACTTTCCCAAGCCTCACCCGAGTCAGCGTGAGAAGTGAAAACCCAGGTCCTTCTAGAAGTGCAGAACATGCACTCGCAGTCATTTGTGGTGCTCTTGATACCTAACTGATTTTCTTCATGGCTTTTCCAAGCACCAAAATCAATGTGAACTGATTTTCTAATCAGGTTGCTTGCTCTTAACAGCAAAGAAGTTCTTGGAAAATTAGAGAACAGCCAGTATTGAGGGAGGGTTCTGCACACCTTCACTGCAGGAAACAGTCAGAGGGATGGAGCACACCGGGATGGAGTGGGTGCAGACTCTGCCCAGAGTCGGCCTCACTCTGCACACACACCAATGAGCCCCGAGGGTGGTGGGGCTGTGCTTTCCTGCAGCGTCCCTGGGGTAGGCTAGAAGGCCCAAGGAAGTTCTAGAGATCTCTTTTTCTATGTAGAAAGAATGTACTTTCTAGAGTCAGCCTGGGGAAGCCTGGGCATTTTGCCACTCGCAGGGTTAGTTGGGGATTGGAGAAACAACAGCAGTGGAGCTGGCAAGTGGGTTTCCACTGATTGGTGTGCTTCTGCTTAGGACTTGGGAAGCTCTGTAAGGGCCCCTGGATCCCACACCTCTCTCTGAGGTGGCCCACGTGGTGAGAGCAATCACAGCCAATGTGTACCACCAGATCCTCGGCCATAGTTTCCTGGACATGTGTTGACAGTGACAGACTTCTCACCTGAGATACTCCCGTGCTCATGCTGGAACCTGCACCTGTGTTACAGCCTACAAGGTAACCTCAGCACTGTCACACGGGGGTTTTACAGTGGGAAATGATGCTGGGTTGCCTGACTGAGCCCAGTGTCATCACAGGGAGAGCTAGGTAGAACATGAGTGATTCATGCTGAAGAAAGAAGGGGGCCTGAGCCAAGGAAGACATGCACACTGTAGCAGGTGGAGTTGAAAGGAACTCTCAGACAAGCAAGCACCTGCTGGCATCTTATGTTGAGCATCTAATGCCCAGACCACAAGATCATTTGGGGTTACGGTAAGCCTCCAGCCTCTTGCCATCTTTTCCACCAGCAGTCAGGACCACGTACCCAGGGCCCCTTAAACACAGCAGGGAGGGAACAGGAGATGATCCACTTGGAGTATCCACTGCAGGTGCTGCGTCCTGGACTCTTCGCTGGAGTAAGGAGTCTCAAGGCCTGCATGTGTTCAATCAACTGTATAAAGAGAATGCAGTCAGTGAGAAATCAGTTTCTCCTTCAACTTTTCCTGCATAACTTTACTGCTTCCTGAGAAGTTTTGCAGGCACCTGGTCTAATTACTGCCCCTTGGGCAGTGCCATTTCCCAACCATGTGGATTGTCTGAGCTCAGCAACGCCTGGGTCCCTGGTCACCTGTGTGCCCAGTTGGCCATGAGCATACTGTACCATGATGCTGGTAGGGTCCCTGCTGGGGTGATGGCCCAGGTGGTAGGAACATGATATGGCTTCAGATGCTTGAGATGGGCTGAGAATCCACTGGGTCAGTCAAGGCATGTTGGCCTCAGGGCAGAAATCAGAGTAGTGATCAGCAGCTTCTTCTGCCATGTGACATAGTAGGGCAGGCTCCTCTTCTTCAGAGCCAGGGATACCTGACCCCCTCTGCCAGTGTCCGTAGTCCTGTTTCTGTTTCCTCACATGGGACCTGTCTTGTCAGCACCTCAATCGTAGCTGATTCGGTTAGCTTGAGTTGGTCTTTCAAAGTCCATCTTGGCTCATTGGCTCATCCCTTCCACTTCTGTGTTGCTTAATATCCAAGCAATGTTTGAAGGATTGTTGGCGGTGGTGGTGGTGGCAGGGTGGATGAGGAGAGGGTTAAAAGCAAAAGCAAGGCATTCATGTGTTATTACATTGAAAACTTCAGATTTTAGTAACTAATCGATAAATGCATTTACTTTTTTTAAAGAAAATAAATGTTTGCAACATGAAAATAATAAATTACAAATAAGCACATGCACACACACACACATCCAGGATAAGTTAAAAAAAAAGTCTTCAAAAAGTGGAGAAATTAAAATATAAAAAGTGTTACCATGTCAGAGGTCTCTAAATAAATTGTTGGTCCATTTACTCTCCCCAACCCTCTCTCTGATCCACCTGATACATGACCAAAATAATGATTCCCGACTCCTCTCTGTGTTATGAAATAGCCATGTTTAAGAGCAGATCTGCTAACGGAATATTTAAATATTTCCATCCTCAACAACTTATTCTGAAGTTTGAGAATCACTGTCCAAATTCTGAAATATTCACAACTGAAAACTGCGAGTTTAACCACAAGCCACCCGAAGTACAATCAGAATTGCTCAGGCAGCAGCAGACGACATCTCCACAGGAAGCAGGCAATCTTTAAAGGTTTGACACAAGTATTATTTCCTTGGAATACAGAGTGACAGATCTCCCATCTGCTGCTTTACTTCTCAAATGCTCTCCACGCTCAGAGCCCGGAGCTTCAACCTGGCCCGTGTGTGGGGCAGAGACTTGGCTGCCTCCCCTGTTATACATTGGTGGGAAATTGGATGAGAAGCAGAGCAGGCCACCAACCCAAGCACTCCAAGTAGCACCTTAGCCACTGTACCAGAGGCCCGTAACGCAACAGCAGATCTTGGGGGGGCCTGAGAGAAATCCATTTGTCATGAGCAATCTCTGAAAATCAGGGGAACACTCCCAAGTCCGTGGCCTATGGGTGGAAGATACAGCCAAGGCCAACACAGCGGCCAGGCAGACTGGACACTGCAGCTGCACCAGCTGCCTCTTCATGACTGTGATGGGACAAATAGCCCAAGTCGCACGGCATGCAACCTGCATGCAGGTACAGCAGCCAGGACATCCTGCTTGGTACGGTAATGAGGGAAAGCTCATGTGCAGTAGGTCATCCGATGGCTGCAGCCACTCACACCGGATCCGAGGAAGGGAGTAGAGCAGGCCAAGCATTTCCACCCGCAAAGCTGGCCCACCCCCAGCAGGTATCTTTGACTGAATCTGACACCTAAACACACCCTTTCCCTCCTTTTCCTAAACCCCTACTATACTTAAAGAGGCTGCACTCCACTGCCCCATTGCTGCTTCTCAAATCTGCTTAAATTTGCTGACAAGTAAATTCTTTGTTAGAAACCAGCTTTATTGATATCTAATTTACATACCAGACAACTCACCTCCTCAGGGTCTGTGTTCAATGTTTCTCAGTGTGCACTGCTCCCTCTGATTTATTGTCAAACTCCAGAAATTTCTCAATTCTGTTAATTTCATATTAGTGGATTCATACAATAACTAGTTTTCTATGACTGGTTTCCTTCACTTGACACAATGCTTTTTCCACATCCATTCATGTTGCAACGTGGAGCAGTGCCTTGCCCTCTTTTCACTGCCAAGTAGCATTCCGTTGATGGGGCCACACTACTTTATCTCCCCAAGGATCAGCCTCTGACTGTCAAGGTTTTTCTCATGTGGGGTAGCTCTGCTCACACTGCTACAAGCATTCGCTGGCAAATGAGCTTTGTTGTGGGAATTGCTATTATTTTTCCTGGGGATGAGTAGGTGTGGGGTTGCAGCTGTGGTCTCTCTGTTTAACTTTTTAAATTGTTTTTCATAGAGGTGCATTCTCACCAGCAATGATTCCACATCTCTCCCAACATGCATTGCTGTCTTACTATCACTATCAGTTGGGATGATTATTACTATTATTATTATTGTTTTAGTCATCCCAGTACACAGAGCTTTCAGTTGCGTTTCCTGAAGTACTGGGGGTGTCGAATGTTATTTCAGCACTTGTTGATGATTCATATGCCTTCTTTGGAAAAATATCCTTACAAATACTTGGCTCACTTTTGATGAGGTAGTCATCCTTTTCGTTGTTGCATTGTAGGGATTCTTACTATTTTATGGATGCAGATATTTTAACAAGCATTTTTTCAAATATCTTTTAGCAAATAGTATCTCCTACTCTGTGGGTTCTCTTTTACCTTTTCGTTTTCACTTTGTGGTACAAATGTTTTATATTTTAATAGGAGGGTCCGGCATTCGGTGCTTGAGATGCCTGTCTCCCGTAGCAGAGTACGCAAGCTTAAGTCTTCGCTCCACCCTTGTACCTTGAGAGTGTGCGAGTGATGATCAGCTAGTCACGTATGTGTTGCCAACGCCGGATACCAAGGTGAGTTCCTGGTTCCTGTCTGGACTGGCCGAGCCTCAGCCGCTAAAAGCATTGGAGGGATGAAGCAGCAGATGGGAATTCTGTCGGGGCCTATCTCTCCTCTCTCTATCACTGCCTTCCACATAAATAAAACAAAACAAAAATTAAAATAATCTTTATTTTTGCTCTACCAATTTTCTGATTGTTTCTGGTTGCTTATGCTGTCAGTGTCATACATAAGGCACTGTTGCCTAATCTGTGTTCACACAGATTTTCACCGATGTTTTCCTTTAGAGGTTGTACAGTTTCAACCCTAACATCGATGCCTATTGTACGTTGTGAGTCCATGCTTGAATATGGTCTGAGGTAGGGATCTATTCCATTCTTTGTCATGAGGATGGACTGTCTTACCTGTTGCGTTTGTTAAACCAATGAGTCTTTCTCTGCATCCATCACCTTGTGGGCTTCACCCAAAGTCAATGGAAGTTGAGCGTAAGGGTCCATTTCTGGATTCAGTCCATCCCAGGGATCTCTCTCCATCCTTGTGCTGACACAGACTGAATTCCTCCACACCCCTGTCCCCAACCGTAGACTGGTGGGCACTCTGGCTTCTGATTGGCTTCTACACCCACTACAGTGTCTCCAGGCAGCAATGTAAGAGTTACACACATGTTGATGTCTCTTTTCCATCTCCTCTCAGGGCCTGGGAGAAAACTGAAAGTTTAATACATTTTGGCCACCCTCCTGTACATGGTCCTCATCCCTTCTCCAGACACAAGCCCTTGGTGATACTGAAAAAGCAGTGTGTCCAGTCAAGACATTTAAAATCTGTGCCACTTACTTCCACCAGTAAAATGTAGCAACTTCTGGTGCCAAGAATATTCTGATTTTGGTCTCAAGTAGCATCATGGGTATCTGATTTATAATTTATAACCTTCACAGTCAAGAATGAAAGATTAAGTTCACCTGTTGGATGACCAGATATCATAAGAGGACAAGTAGGCAGTTTCCAGTTGACCTAGCACCTGCCTTGAGATTTGTGAGTGAGATCCAGCTCAGGCCACTTGAGCCTAGCTCCAACCAACACATCTGCCTTTCCTGAATCTGAGCCTGTTTGTAACCTACAAAACCGTTAGCCAAGGAAACACCTTTTGTCTGAAGTCATTAAGCAACATGATGGTTTGCTACTGAGCCAAAGCTAGTATAGTCTCTTCCCAGTCAGGTTCCCTTCCTCACCTTAAGACCCTGCCCAAGCAGCCCCTCTGCTCATTTTGCCCCGGACCTTTCGTCTCTCTGCTCTTCCTTCTGCCTCTTCACTGGGAAGCTGCTGCTACCAACCCGGGCCTGGGGAAGGTGCCTGATGCTGCTCCCAGGGCTCCCAGATTCCTCTGTACTGCACTTGCTCCTTTGTGTGACCCTGAGTGCTCTTTCTAGCCCTGCTCTCCTGCATGAGTGGGTCAGCCAAGAGGGAAAAGGATGTACACAGACCCATAACCTGTCCCATGCTGGGATGGCTTAAGGGCAGAGAGCTGGGCACACAACTATCCATGTAAGGATAGATGACTCATGGGATGTGACCTCTGGACCTGGGTTATGGATGGGAAACCAACCATTTTCCAGGAAATGAAACCTTATATGAAGATCCACAGCAAAGAGTGAATGGATGCCATGGCTGAAGACAACAAAATTCAGGTTCTTGTGTGATGAGAAAGAGAGCAGGTGAAGGGAAGGCGACTCCTCTAGGAATAGTAGGAACCTGGACCTAGTTACCTGGATCCAAACCTACCTGCTCCTTTTCACCGGTTTCTTAGAAGACACTCTAGAGTCCAATCTGATTGAATTTTGCCATGAAGAAGCCAGACGGGATGCTGAGTTGTCCATTGGCCTCAGCAACTCTCAGGTCATCCCAGTGGCAGCGATTTACTTCCCAGACAATCAGGGCAAAGGGGAGAGGCATAGTCCAGAAGTGTAAAGAGAGAGCTAAAGCTAAGAGGGAGTGGCGAGCTGGCTCTCCGCATTTCCTTCACAGTCGGTTGGGGAGCAGGCTCTTCTCCAGGTGGAACTAATAAAGTGGAGCTGGGATAATGGGATCAAAGCCCAGAAACATGAAAGCTGCCTGGAGGGGAAAGAGGAGAAGGGGCTCAGGGAGGCCTGCCTCCCAATGCTAACGGTTCCCGCACTCATCAGATTCAAGTATCACAAATTGGACTTGTCTGCTTTTGCAGGGACTTTAAGGCAAGCCGCAATCCCAGAGCCACAGAGCTTAGAGGCATGAGCAGCTGCTTTAATCAAATGGCCCAGCCTCCCTTGGGAGCGGGGGATACACAGGGCTCACCAAGGGGCTGTGCCCAGGCATGGCTCAAACGGGGAGCACATGTGAACGTGCCACCCTCGACCTCTGCTCTACCCAATTAGACTGGAAAGTGGTTGAGGGCAGAGACCTGGCTTGCTGGACTGCCTTCATGTCCCCCTACCTCATGCATCACTCACCTAGCTAGGGAAAAGCCTCAAAAAAGAAGCAAGTGGGAAGGTATTCTCATGGGAGCAAAGGTTCAAAACGTAAGGAGACGGCAACGTGACAGAAATAGAAAGAGGAAAGAGTGAATTGAGGGAAGGGCCTTTGGCAGGCCATGAAGATGCCACTTAGGACACTCAAGCTCCATATCAGGTGCCTGGGTTCAAGTTCTGGCTCTGCTTCCCATACAGACTTTCCAATGCAAACCCTGGGAAGCAGCAGGTAATGGCTCAAGTATCTGAAAGCAGTTTGAACTCATCTAGGGACTCAGCCAGCCTTTATGGGACTCAGATGTTGAGAGCAGAGAGACAAACAAAAATGGGCATTATCCAGTGTGTGAGGAAAATGGAGACTCCAGCAAGAGAATCAAGAAGCAAGCATGGCAAGGGGCTTGGATTCAGAAGGGACCCTAATGAGTTCTTAGGAGTGAATATGGGCTTCATCAACACTTGTCTCAAGACCAAAGATGCACCTGTACATGCATCTGTCTGTCTGGAAATAGGAATCTATTCTGGACCTCCATGCCCATGCCTGCTCACCAGTTATGGGCCTTTCCAAACTCGATATCCTCCGTAGTACCGTGGGGAACAATGGCAGAGGCTTTCTCCCAAATGTAAAGCATCTAACGGAGTGCCTACAGCAATAGTACTTACAATGACACTATAATGTATTCATCATCTGGCACTTGGCGGTTTCTAATATCAAGAGCTAATCCATAGCAGCGTGCTAGCATGGGCCATTTCCAGATACACGGAACATAATCTCATCCATCTCCAACATAACTGGCGAAATACAGAACATTTTCTCATGTCTGATTTTCAGAAGGATTCCAGCATCAAGAAAAACAAAGATAAGAACCGTTTTCTTCCAAAACACCCACCATGTGATTCCATCCTCATTACACACTGTCAGCCCATCAGCTGCTAAGAATTCTTTGGAAGAGAGAAGATGCCATCTTGGGAAGAAGTTTCTGACACACTACTCTTCCAACTTAGAATAGAGGCCACGTTCTCTCAAGAGCTGGAGTCTACACAGAACACACTCTGGCCTCTGTTCATACAGGCATAAAGGTATGAGTCTGGCTGGATGTGAAAAACTAAGTAGCAGTCATCAGGGACAACTTCGCTTTCAGAAGCACTTGGAATCAGGCAGAAGAGTCAGGTGAAACAACCCAGCTCTGGGCTAACCAAAATGTGTTTAACAGCAACCTTTCAGAAACTAAAGGTTAAAGAAATTCATAAGAGGCCCAATAAGGACATTGCCATCTCCAGGATCTACCAAGGGAGGCCCTGTAAAGAGACCTGTGAAAAATCCAGGGGATCACCTCAGGAAGCACGTAATACCCATGTCCAACTACAATTGTGCTGAGCACATGAGTCCTTATGGCTGCAGACTCCTACTCTGGGCCCAACCCTTGAATGCCTCCATCTCAGCAAGGCACAGACATATCCCTAGGGGAGGGAGGAATACAAAAAGAAATGGGCAGGCCCAGTGCAGTAGCCTCGTGGCTAAAGTCTTCACCTTGCATGTGTCTGGATCCCATATGGGCTCCAAG